TGGCTCGGTGGCGGCGGGGCGGCTCGGCCCGGTTTACCCGGACGCCCCTTCCCGGCCCGCGGGCCCCGCTGGCGCGACCATTTCAGCGTTTGGGCTGAGCCAGGGAGACTCGATTTTCTCCCTCTTTGGCAGGGCTCTTGCAGTTGTATCTGAACCCTTTAAAGCGTAGTAGAGGCGGTCAAAATAAGCCTAACAATGGAGATCCGACAGGCCGAGGGGTCTCTTAGAGGCTTGAGCGCAAATTTGAAATTAAACAAAAAATGAGGGCGAAATAATTGTTGGCGTCTGAAACGGTGTTTGCTTTGACTTTCGTAAGTTGCCAAAGTTTTCATTTCATTTGCACCGAAAGAAAAGCACTTTTCTTTCTGCGTTGCATAATGGAGGATTGAAGAGAGCGGTGTCCCTGGGCTTAAAATAAATGCTGTCCTCTTAGGCTCCTGCCCCAGTGTGTGTCACATGGAGGAGTCGGGGGCTGCAAATTTCATGCTCCGCGGGGCCGTTGATCTAAAGGGTGCATTTTCCTAGGTCTGACTGCAAAGTCTGCCTTAAACTTCGGGCTGCTGGGAATGGCTCGCCGGGCGCGCGGGTCGGGGAGGCCGACCCCTCCTGCACTGCTGCCCGCGGGGTCACGCAATTTGCGAGGACCCCCACCCCCGCCCACCCACACACCCTCCGCCACGTCTCCCCACTCCGCGAAGAAGAGACAGGAAATACATACCCGATAATAGTAAAGGAGCAAAGCGGCCGCTGTGTTTTCCTGTAACTTTTCTTGTAGTTTTGAAAAGAAAGCCAATTTCTCTGAAAGCGGCCCCAGCTGCCTTTCAGATCGGTTGCTATCAAAAAAGATCAGCTCCCATTTTGTTCTGGCGGCCGGGATGCAGGGGGAAGCGTTGAGAGATTTACAAGGTATCCTTTCAAAAAGAATTCCCAGCAGAGACGAGGCCGAAATGTCTTCCTTACAGTTACAACGAAAATAATTAGAAAAGTGCAAAGTACATTTTGCAAAGATTAGGCAAAAACGAAATCTGGCCGGAGAAACCTTGTCTCTGGGCCTCGACCACCGAACTAATTAGTCAAAGAAATCTTCTGCTTTTTGCAACTTTCTCCAGAGTCCCGGTTCCCCTCTCTGCTAACACAACAACTCGACAATTTTTACATGGAGGATTATAATTTTTTTTACAGAAATTTTGAATACAGATGTGTGCCAGTTGGGAAACCCGCGTGCGTTTGTAGGGGAGGGGGGCCTCTATGGCGAGGATCTGCTCCCATTGTAGTGAGGTTGGGAAGGGAGATGCTTGTTTTTTTTCTCTTTTACGGAGGGGAAACTATATAGAAATCCAACCACCCCGCCCCCAAAGGTAGATGTTCGTGCGCATGTGTTTCCTCCTGGTCTCCTGATGCTTCCTGGAAAGCAAGCCTAAATCTAAACCCAAATTCTAGGTCTAGGTTTCCAAGCCTTTACGGTTGGGGATTTGGAAGTCCAAAAGATAAAATTGTGAGTGAATGTCTGTCTGGGCAATTTATGGTAATAATGAGGCCTAATGAGGTTGTTAGAAAGATAAAATGTTATTTACCAAAAAACCTGATGGGATAATTTGACTTGCTGTGTTTTACTACCGATGATAAAAAGAATATTGATTGCAAATAAATCACAGCCTCTAAATGCCTTGCAAACAGTTTGTGCTTGCTTGCTCCTGATCAAAGTCAAACTTGAGAGATAAAGTGTCCGAGCAGAGGCCTAGGAAACAGTTCTGCTCTGCGCAGTTGGTGCTCAGGGCCCTCCCGTTAATGTTTTACCGGATAAACCCTCTTTTTGTATTTAAAAAAAAAAACAAATGGTGTTTTTGTTATTGTTGTTGATGATGGCCAGGATTAAAATTTTAAATTACCTGTCACCCACTGTAGCCCTTTAAGTGCGGGGCGGGCAAGCCATTCTATGCAGGTTAATTTGGGAGCTAAAAGGAGTGTGCTTTCATTTTAAATTGCTGGTGGATTTGGACTCTCAGAAAACTCAGGATGGTTTATTTTGTTTGACCCCCTCAGGGTCAAAGGGAGGGGGCCTGGGCTCTTGGTTCTCTACGTTTGGAGAAACTGTTTTATCAGCCTGGTTAAAAGGTTTTCCCCTCTAGCGAGTGTGAGATAAACTTGGACACCCGGGCTTCTGGAGTTGTTTTGGGAGGTGGGGCTGGGGGCCCTGCGGGCGGCCTAGGGAAATCCTAGGGGCTGCGGCTCCCGCTGTGGTCTTCTAGAGATTCTAGGATTCTGCAACTTTTCTTGAGTGACAAAAATATCTCCATGATTGGTGGAAGGTTAGTTTCTGGAGGCAGCTTCTGGTCTGACCCCCTCTTCCAACCCGGGTGGTGCCTTAGGACTAGGCTTCCCATTCTGGAGCCGGCGGGAGCGTCTGCCTCCCACTTTCCCAGTTTGGGGGACTCATCTCTCTCTCTCTCTCTCTCTCTCTCTCTCTCTCTCTCTCTCTCTTCCCCCTGCTTTCTCTCTACTCCCTCGCTGGGCCTTGTGGCTGCAGGGTTCACAGTATGAGCTCAAGGACAACCCCGGGGTGCACCCCGCCACCTTCGCCGCCCACACGGCGCCGGCCTATTACCCCTACGGGCAGTTCCAGTACGGGGATCCTGGGCGGCCCAAGAACGCCACGCGCGAGAGCACGAGCACGCTCAAGGCCTGGCTCAACGAGCACCGCAAGAACCCCTACCCCACCAAGGGCGAGAAGATCATGCTGGCCATCATCACCAAGATGACCCTCACGCAGGTCTCCACCTGGTTCGCCAACGCGCGCCGGCGCCTCAAGAAGGAGAACAAGGTGACATGGGGCGCGCGCAGCAAGGACCAGGAGGACGGCACTCTCTTCGGAAGCGATACCGAGGGGGACCCTGAGAAGGCCGAGGACGACGAGGAGATCGACCTGGAGAGCATCGACATCGACAAGATCGACGAGCACGACGGCGACCAGAGCAACGAGGATGACGAGGACAAAGCCGAGGCGCCGCGCGCGCCAGCCGCGCCCGCCGCCCTCGTCCGGGACCAGGGCTCGCCGCTGGCGGCCGCCGACACGTTCAAGCCCCAAGACTCTCCCCTGGGCCTGGCCAAGGAGGTCCCGGAGCCCGGCAGCACGCGCCTGCTGAGTCCGGGCGCCGCGGCTGGCGGCCTGCAGGGCGCGCCGCACAGCAAGCCCAAGATCTGGTCGCTGGCCGAGACGGCCACCAGCCCCGACGGCGCGCCCAAGGCCTCGCCGCCTCCCGCCGGCCATGCGGGCGCGCACGGGCCCCCCGCGGGCGCGCCGCTGCAACACCCGGCCTTCCTGCCCAGCCACGGACTGTACACCTGCCACATCGGCAAGTTCTCCAACTGGACCAACGGCGCGTTCCTCACGCAGGGCTCGCTGCTCAACGTGCGCTCCTTCCTGGGCGTTGGCGCGCCCCACGGCCCGCACCTGTCCGCGCCGCCGCCGCCGCCGCAGCCGCCTGTCACCGTGGCCGCGGGGGTGCTCCACGGCGACAAGGCCTCGTCCCGCAGCAGCCCCTCGCTCCCAGGTACAGCGCCCCGGGACGTCCGCCCTGCCCCAGGCCAGTAATCCGGAGCCCGGGCGATGCTGGGGATGGAGGGGAGCTCTGGCCCCGGAGGGTGAGAGGCGGTGACCGCTGAGCTCGGGGTTGAGCAGTAATCCCTGCCTGAATTCAGGGAGCGAGGCCACGGCCCTCCGGCTCTCCCGAGAAAGCTGAGCTCTACCCGCTGGCCTGTCCCGGGGGAGGCAGGGAGGTTTCCCTGGAGACACTTCCCAGGGACGGGGCGGGGTGGGGGGGGGAGGAGGCCTGGGCCCCTCTGCGGCACCCCTTCCCCCCACTGTCTCTCGGCCCTAATGCTCTGCCTCTTCCCCTCCCTCGCAGAGAGAGACCTCATCCCCAGGCCGGACTCGCCGGCACAGCAGTTAAAGTCGCCCTTCCAGCCCGTGCGCGACAAGTGAGTGCCGTTGGTGTTTACCTCTGGGTAGGGGCGAGGGGGATTCGGGGGCCGGAGGCCGAGCAGTGGTAGGCGGCAGAGGGGTCTCGCAGTTAGCGTGGATGGGGCGCTGTCCACCAGCCGGGCGCCCGGGCCAGTGTAGTCCGCCCCGGTTTCTCCCGAGCCGGGAGCCTCGCGGGGGCAGGTCACGCCGCCCCCCAGGCGCTTGGCTGGCAGCACCGGCCATGCTGGGTCCCAGCTTCCATCCACTGACAGCGCTGTGTTCTTCTTGTCTTGCTGTGTTTCCCCTGCAGCTCGCTGGCCCCGCAGGAGGGGACGCCGAGGATCCTAGCAGCCCTCCCATCAGCCTGATCCAGGGGCTTCTTTTACTTTTGCGGGGGGAGGGGGGAGAAGTTCGGGAGGGAGGGGGTGAGGGAGGAATCAAGACAAATATTTCAAACTGGTGTAAAGGGCAAATCTGGCAACGAAGTCAAGGACTCCCATCCATCGCTTTCTGCAGAAAGGGGCTCGTCCGGCCCGAGCTCGCGTCCAGGCAGCCCGGCCTCTGCCCGCAGCCCCGGGGGGCTGTCACTGTGCTCCAGGCGATTATCAGTTCGGTAAATGCCCCCATGTGCTTCTGTCTTTCTTTCTTTCTTTCTTTTTTCCTTCTGTATATAGAGTGATTTCAGATTGTAAATAGCGCGTCAGCAAACCTGTCTAAATCATATATTTTTGTCTAATAAACTAAATGAAATGATGGCCACTGCTCCTGCTGCTGTGTGTGGCTGGGCGTCTCTGGGGGCGTCCTCAACCCTGGAATCAGGAATCCTGGCATCGTGGCAGGGCTCTAGTGCCTGTGGCTGAGGAGAGAAGCTCTGGGGGAGCTTCCACACCAAAGGCAGGGTGCTTTTCAGTGTCCTGATCCTTGTTGCATTTGTTAATGTCACCAGGGCAATCCTTGTTGGCAGTTTAGTTCTTTCCAACTCTTACACATTTATCTGGACACGCCCTTCTCAAGACATAAATGTGTTCGATTTTAGGCAGTTTATAAAACGATTTTTTGAAGTGGGCAACGATGGGGGAAAAGTGAAAAGAATTTCCAATCCTCTCCCCAGAGGAGGACTTCGTATTTTAAATCAGTTTATAACCAGTTGTCTCAGCGGTGCATCGTGGCGTTTCACAGGTAGAATGAGGACATAATGGAGTATGAAATTTTGCTTTCAGTGTATTTTTTTAGTTATTTGGCTAAATCACACGTGGAGAAATTGGAATTTTTTTTTTTTAACTCTCCTGCCAGGGATGCAGCTCCGTGGTTCTCTGGGCGTGTGAGCGACGGGGCTGCAGTAGTGTGTGTGGGTGACAAAGAGGGGAGCGGGCTTCGGTCTCCCAGGGACGCCCCTTTAAACTCATGCGCCCTGCACTGGGCGCACCCAGCGAGCGAGCCGAGGAGCCAGTGACGCCCAAATGGCCGCTGGGCTGGGAGGCAGCTGGAGTGATGGTAGGAAACAATGCAGAAGGAGCCGGCCCGGAGCCTCGAGAACCGCACTGGTCTGGACTGCGGGCCGTGGGGCGTGCGGAGCTGGATGCACAGCCTGCATTTGCAGAGGGTGCAGGACCCTTGAATTGGTGAACACCGCGAAAGCAATCGCTTTGTGAAACTGCCAGTGAGGATGGGGGCTGCGGAGGTACCCAGCCCAGTGGGGAGGAGGCCGAGTCCCCGGGGTCGGACAGGACCCTCCCCCACCCCGAGCCGAGCCCCACATTCGCCCTCGAGATCCTCGGGACCCGCTGTCCCGGGCCGCTCGCGGCGGCGAGGGACGCGGTTGCGGGAGGAGAAAGCCGGGCGCGGCCGGCTGCCCCTGGCTCCTCTGCGGCGAGGAAAGGGGCGCTCATGCCGAGAACCAGCGGGCGCCACCCACCAGACCGCTGCCCCCGGCGCCGCGTCCTTCCCCAGCGCCTCCCCCCGCTGCCGTCGGCCTAGAGGAAAAGGTACTCGCTTGCCGCCCCCGAGGCGGGAGGAAGCGCGAAGGGGCGGCCGCTGCAAGCGTGGCCCGACGGCACGTCGGGGCGCGCGGGTTCGGAGCGTGGAGCCGCTGGAGAGCCGGGCCGCGGAGCCGAGCCGAGGGCCGGCTGGCGGGGGGGGGGCGGGG